GTAGTTATCCGAGTCCCAAGTCCATTCCATCTATGTAGGTGCGATCTTATTCCGTTGAAATGACACCAGCAGCGTCTTAATCCTTTTGCCAGGATATGGCAGCCGAGCCCCGAGGACATTGCCCGGCCACGCGTTTTAATTAAATTCTTTTGTCGCATACAGGCGGCGGGCATGCAAAAATCCAACACTCGAACGGGGAGCGGGAAACGGGAAACGAGAAAAGCGAAAGGAAAGCTGCAGAGTCAGTGGCAGCTGGCTGGGAAAGCGGAAAATTAATAAAAATGCAGAGGAAGCTCGCTCCGGCAAATGCCAAAATGGGTAGCCAATCATATGTGGGCGGGTCTTCAGAATGTAATAAATGCGCCACTGCGCATTGTTAGATGAATCCTGTAACCCTGTAGCATTGATTGCAATCCATTCAAGCCCAGACAATCTCTAACTGAATCCAAATCCTCAGCCCTCCGCTCAGCTGCTGTTCAATTTGCCATATTCTAATTGAGGGCGTCTGCAAATACAAACACTGGGCCACAAGTCACACACATAGCTATTGACGTTCGAGGCCGCAGCATTTGATGATGTGGCGACAACATTTGATTGCTTAATATTGAATTAATTTACCATATTTTGCGGCCAAGCGGCGACATGTGTGTACTGAGGTTATCCCCAAACCAACACCGCACAATCACTCTGCCAAATGCAGTCATTCAAATTGCAATTACAATGTGTCGGGGACTGGGAAGCAGGGCAGAAGATTTCCCTTTTATATATCACACATATCCATGACACTCACCTCCGTTTCCTTTCGTTCCACTTGATGGCTCTCTTATGCCAAGGGCAAGTCAAATTTTATGGGTAATAACAAGTGAGTTTCGAAACGCATTGACCTGTCCCAAAAGATGAGGAAGTGGGGCGGAAAGAGTCGAAAAATATGCTAAAAGTTCGAAGAGTAGAGGAGCAAGTTTTCAATACCCTAACATCGGGGGTTATTTTAGATACAGGAAATGATTTGGATAACAAACAAAGTATGTAATATTAAATTAAAAAAAGGTGTTTCTTATTTTTAAGGGATATAGGGATTTTTAAATCTAAACCTCTAAACAAGAATGGATAGAACATGAAAGTATCACAGGACCATTGTAACGTTTCATTGGTTATAAAATGAGAATATATTATTTCCAATCCATTTACGTTCATAGGGTGAGTAAAATGCCTTCAAATCACCGAAAATAGGTGGCCTAAAATAATGTCATACGAAGTTTGTCTTCAGCAACATTCAGCTTAAGAACTGAAGCGTGCAGCAAATTCCCGTGGACAATGGACATCTTTCGCATTAGGCACACAGAGCCAAATTGAAGTCAGTAAAATGGCATTAGAGAAGGGAGAAAGCGGGCAGAGTTGAAGGCAGGAGTCCCCACTTTCTCCAGGGGAACAACAATAATAACTTCAGACTGTGTACATATCTCTTTTTCGGAAAAGCTCCCGAGCCCCGGACCCAAATTGTTTGACTATGAGTCCGATGTGAAGCGCTCTGTAAATATTTTAGGCAAGTGACTGGACAGAACGTGTGCCGTGTTGAAGTTCCAGCTTTTTGTGTTGGCTGGGCTGACTGGGAAAATAGCAGCACATAACTGCAAATGAAATTTCGTAGATTTCGCTTGAGAATAAATGAAGAAAAATGTGCAAAAGCGAATTGCCGGGCGAGAAGTGTATGGAGAAAATTCCGAAACACTTTGGCTGGTAAGTAGAAAATATTTTCATTGTTGCTGACACCTCGGCGAACGCGAAGGATGCAAGATGGAGAAGCACCAAGATGGAGCAACTTTTTAATTAAGAAATCTTGCGGAAATTGCTTAAATATTTCAACTGCACTTGCAACTGTTTGTGGCCTAATTGAGACGAGATGCAAGATGCAAACGTCTTAAATGTCGGCCAACCCATTTGAGAACTTTTATTTATGGCAATGAAGAGCAATTACACAATAATATGCCATCGTTTCAACTCAATTTGGCAGCCATTGAATGGAAAGGAAACGAGGAAAACTGTTGCCATGTATTTATGGGTATTTTATTGCGTTTTATGAGCCATACAGGGGGCCAAATCTACTGAGCAGATCGGTTCAGCGGATAGATTGCAAATTATTGGGCCAAGGTCTTAGCGAACTACGAGCTTAGATTAATCAGCAGAAATATTCAAAATAATCTCGCTTTCTCGGCTTTATCCTCCTCAATTGCTCCGTGCAAATATCATAAAGTGTCGCTGCGGGAATCGACGCCCCAAACACATTTGCATAGAGTTATGTTCACACGAACACGTCTTTCCTCAGAGACCCACATATGTGTTCAACACAATAGAGTCATAGTTCCCGTCTATAAACAGGACCGAAGTACGAGTATTCTATAAATATAAGGTAAGCTGTTTGAAAAGTAATCTCTATAAGGTTCTTAGACACGAATATTTTAAACAACTTCTTCATTACTATTATTTTGGACACATACGTACTTAAGCATATCTATCTGTGCGCCAGTGAGCAAGTTTCATTCTTGATGGTTGGCAGTAGTTTCCTGCGGCGCACTCAAGTCGTAAAGCGTCTTGAACAGTATTTATGTTGGTTATTAAATGGATTCAGCGCCAAAACGATTTCAATTGGATTTGTGCGCTCCGAATAAGTGAGTTTTATGCCATTGAACAAGTAGCCGCATAAATGTTAATGGTCTGGCTGATGGCCATTCGAGAACCAAACACCTTTTAAATGGTCATGACCGCTTTTAGTTAAATTGTTCGCGGTTGTTGTAGGCCTAAAACACTAAAAACTTTTCCTCACTACAATAACTTTATATGCTCCGCAACACTTTGGCTAGCATTGGAGTTGGAACTTTTGAAAGCTTCCGCAATCCTGGGAAAAGGACAAGCCGGAAGACCTTCAACTTATTCAATTTGTCGTCGTTGGGAGAAGGCAGCTCGCAAATGTGGTCGCTCATAATTGAATTATTGTGGTTGTGCAGCCGGGGTTTTATCATCGGTTCTGGGTTCCTAAAAGGTTTCCCAAGAAGTTTCAAGCTACCAAACCACTTATGATTATTTGGATTTGAGTTCTTGATTACAGGAATTTAATAGTTGGAAAGTCGTAGTCTCTCCTTTTGTGGGGTTAGTTGCCGAGAAGATACGGATAAAATCGCTGATGCACTGAAAAACCAATGTTGTCTACCGTACAATTTTGCTGTGAGTTTTTTAACAAGCCCCTCCATAACATTTTTATCGTTTCCATTTTATATTTGTTAACCTCTTTTTATACAGGATCCATTTGCCTTCCTCTTTCGAGCGTGGAATGCACATTTTCCTGTTAATTTCTCATTTAAGCATTGTCAGCACATGCACAACAAACATTTTAATTGGCCCATAAAAAATGGGTAAAATTGCTGTTTTCCCCGCTTCGAAAATCAACGAATTTCTGTTCCTATCAATCTCAATACAATTGCGATTAATTTGGCAAGCATTAAGGCCAACGTCGACTGGCTTGATTGATGTCGAATTACGCAGTCTGCGGAAATATATTAATAACTTAAGCCGTCTGTCATTTACCTTGCGGAAATCACCGACACCGTCTCTGACTTCGAGGTATCTCTTCCGGCATTTCCTCGGCATTTTCCCGACATTTCCCACCCATCTCCAATGATGCGCAATAATTAAGAACGCTTTTGCACCACTGCTCATTTATATTTACACATTGTATTGGCACTTTTGACCGAACGTTTCTCGGACTTGGACTCGGACTCGGAAAGTTTCCTTTGTTTGCAGCGCTAGTTAAGGCAGCCCCCAAAGGGTCAGAGCTTTTGCTCTTTTGTTTGGTTTTAGCCATCTCACAGAAATTTTCTCAACTGATTAGCCCCGGCTTGCATTGTCAATGAGCGGGGCGAGATTGAGAGGGGCGCTTTTTCCAAACAAACAAAAGGAAACTAACTCGACTCACCACTCGCACTCCGGTATTTACTTAGCTACCCTTCGGTCTGATGCTTGGCCATTTAATTAAGCGTAACCCGCAGTCAAAGTTGCAGTTAAAGTTGCCTTTTCAGCTCACTGCGGAATGCTCAAACCCATTCGATCGCCGGCGGACATACTTTGCAATGAGTTTCTTACCGCAGATGACCAGCAATTGTTTTTGGGGGAATGGAACAGGGAATTACGTCCCTCAGCACTTTATGCGCTTTATTTTTCCAGTTTATCTTGTTTTTTTTGTATAATTATTCGAGTTTAAGTAGATCTACGTGAAATCGATGGTGGACTCAAATAAAACGACCAGAAAATGCACACTCAAAGCATTTAAACATGCATTTTGGGCATTATTTTGATCGATGTGAGGTGCAAGGGATAAGCCATAACTGACACACACCAGCCTCGTTTTTATGGGCCCCATGTTGTACGACTTACAACTTAATGCGGGCACTGTGAGCAAATGATCCTGAAACGTGCTTAAAAGTGCTACCCTCGATTCCGTGCGGGATGAGCTGCACTTTAAATGCACAACATGGCGGCACAGCTGGGCTAAAGCTACAAAAACACCAAGCAGCGGCAAGTTGCGGACCACAGGAGCTGCGGCAACGCGATTGAAGCGGATACTGCAACAACAGCGCAGTCAAAATAAACAAAACAGGTGCGCATTTTTCAGGTGGGGCGGCGAGGTGATGGACTCGCAACAGGAAGGATGAGGGGCAGTCAGGAGCGGAAGGCACATGAGATGGGTTATTGCTGCTGTCGGCCTACATCGTTGGACAGGGTCTATACGAACAAAAAAAAAAATAAATAAAAGACTGGCAGCAGCGCAAAAGCAGACCAGGTAGACCAGGCTCAGTCGGTGGCTAACGAGACGCAGTAATTCTGAATGTACATATTCCCAAACAGTCGGCGGCACACAAAAAGTTCAAGCTCACACTCAAAAGCATGCGACTTCTTGAGCATTTCCTGATTAGCTTCAAATCCATTTGCTTTCAGTCTAGTGCCAACTCAGAAACCCTGCCAACCTTAATCATTTTGACTATATTCGGGCAAAAACAGACGAATTCCAGCTGTCTGCTTCACTTGCCTCCGAAATTCTAAATTCTTAAAAATAGAAAAAAAAGGAAACCAAGAAATAGGTTTGACCTACCGCATCCTACCTATAATGGATGGATTCTTTCCCACTATGCCACCAAATATTTATCCGGAGTGGAGTGACGCACGCCATACAAGCAGTAATGCAGATCTCTTAGAGCCGAAAGTAGACCTGTTCTACCTGATGAGGTCATATCAGTTTCCATTGCCGCCCCTTCACTCCGATAGAGAATTTCCGTGGACCCTTGAGAGATCTCCGCTGTCGGACGACGAGAAACGTGATCTAACGGACACTGTTTATAGCAATGCCATCATGGAGCACCAAGAGAACGAATGACGGATCCTGAAGCTGATGAAGATTGGCTTCCAATGCTATAAGCAGGGCTCAGGGAACGTGAGGATTGAACTGAAAATGTTGTTTCAATAGAGTTCCAACACCTATCTTCCACCCAAAACTCTTTTATGAATTAGGCACCAGAGGATTCTAATTTTGTGGACTCTGCTGTGAGGACAGGAGTGTGCTCAGACTGAGTGTTGGTGTATGTGTGCTTATGCTGCTTTGTTAGTACATTTTTCATAATTTACATGTTGTTTGTTTGTTTGTCTGTTGACTTTTTTATGTACAACCAGAGACTTGACTAAAAGCTGCAGCTTTTCCTTCTCCTGCACCCCCACCCCCCTTTCTGCACATGTGTGCGTGTCGTTTGAAACTGGTTCAATGCTTCGGCAGACATACCACACAACACACACACTCAGTTATTCACAGTGTACAATGTACATATACCATTTGCAAGAGCCATTTTTTTTCACGTACGTTATTTAAATTTTCCTTGGCTCGGCCGCTGTGCTCCATAAAAAAATAAGCCTATTTATTTAATTGAAATGCCAAACAACAACAGGCAGGAGCCACAAAGAGCGCGCTGCTTCCACTTTTTTCACACGCTGTGCTATAATTTTTCCACCAGCGGAAAACTCACTTCCACACAAACACAGCCATTGATGAGCGTCAATATTTGCCAGGGGCGCTCAACGAAATTCGCTGTGAAACGCAAACAATTAAGCATTTTGTGCAAATAATTACGAGGAAATTTTATAGCACTGCTGCTGTTTCTTACATTCCGCTTGTAATTGAAAAAGAGTTTGTAAATTATTAGGAGCAATCATGATACCTCGTAATGCAGATGTTTATTATTTCAAGCGATTTGCCCAGCCTCCTTCCGCTACTAATTCTTTGAAGAAATCCGATTATGATAGTCTGACCGATTTAAAACTATGCTTCTGAGAAAAGATTTATCGAGGTTTATACACCTAGCATAGCTGTATTTCACAAGTACAATTTTTTGAAATCAACAAAGTCGATTGCTGAGTTGACAGCCGTTTGCAGATAGACCGTGTGCTACCCTTCATCTGTGGAAAATGTGCTGCATAGCGACAGGCGCAGCCATTCAGAATTAACTTTTGTGTGGCCATAACTTTGCGGTGGACTTTGGCGAAACTTTGTTACATTTCTGTTGCAGTTCCTAAGCAGCTTACCAAGAAAAGTTGGTCGAATCGAGGGGGAAGCACTGGCAAACAGACTGCTAATTTAATGCCTCCAAGGGAGGAGTTGGGTAATGGGGGCCCGAAAAGCCTCAACTTTGACCCCTGGACGGGGAGAGCTGAAAAATTATTTGCGTGTTCCCGCAACCACACAATGGAGCCCGCATTTATGGAATCAAATTATAATTTACAATTTGAGTTTCCCCAATTTGGAAATTGTTTTCCTCTCTAAGACATTTTTTTTTGCATTTTATTGCTATTTATAACGACGTGCGAAATCTCACACATTGTTCGCATTGTTGTGTTGCTCGTGTCTTTCATGTTTGGCAGTCATAAAAACAAAATGTTTCTGTTTCTTTCTCTTTTTCCATGTTTTGGCCTGTTGGGGATTTGTGGCACGTCTAAAAATACGACAATAACGGATGAAGAAGAGCAGAAACCAAAAGGAGAATTGTTGCCAGCTGCTGCAAGGGCAATTAAAACGTGCTGCAAAACACGACCGAATAAAAGCCAAAAAACAGAAAAAAATACAGGCAAACAAGATAGCAACACAAAGTTATTAAAGTGACATTTTTACAATTGTGTGGAGGTGAGCACAAATCTCTAAACAAAAAGAAAAAAACGCAGCACTGGCTAAGCAACAAAAAAACAGGCAATGTCAAAGCGAAACGCAAATCCAATTTTAAGCCGCCCCAAAGCCGCAGGCAAAACCAGAAATAAACCAAAAAATAACAAACAAACAGAAAAAACTCAACGCAATAACAACACTAAAAACAATGGCTACTTAAGCCCCATGGATAAGGAGGGAATTTTTGGGGAGTGTCCACAGGCCATAAAGCTTTTGATATGCATGACAAAAAACCATAACGAAAACAAAGAAATCACCAACAAGAACTTTGAATTGTGGCCTCAAATTAAATGTTTACAGTATAATCCGCAAAAAATGAGAGTTCAAATAAATATAACAAGCGCTGAAATGTAATATCTTAAATCTTCAATTCAACCCAATTAATTTCGAGTAAATTTTGAAAACCAAGAATTTCCCAAAGCACTCAAATCCTATTTACAAACCCGTTCAAAAAGACTTTGGGGAAAAATATAAAGTGCAGAAACATTTTGCATCCGTGCTATTGAACGACGTCCCAACTTTCAAGTTAATCAAAGTGTTTTGAGCCCGGCTAGTTCGTTTCACTAGCCCCCGAACCAATTCAAACACAAATTCGGGCAAAAAGTTATCCTTTCTCATCGGTTGCTTCCCCATTCACAAGTTTTGGGACAAAGTTATCATGCCCAAAACGCTCGTTTCCCTGTTGTTGTGAGTCAATGTGGCCGCCAGGCAGCTGCCAAACAACCTGCTCCCATTGTGGCCCGCAGTCCAGGTAATTACGCCGTGGACCACAAGACCAGAAGCCAAACGCATAGGCAAACTATACTATACGGCGGCAACAGCCACACGCGGAGACAAAAAGCCAACTTGTCCGCCGGCGAATTTGTCAACACGAAAATGGCTGCAGCAGCAGCAGAAACAGAAACGCCAACACCAACGACAATAAGCCATAAACTGTGCTCTCATTTGCACCAGTTAGTTAGTGGTGTCAGTTGCACTCAGAACAATTTCCAATAACTTTTCAAAAATAAACATTCATGTAAGTTTGAGCCCTAATAAGCGTACCCCATATAAACACGATTTGATGCTCTACAAAAGTATGATACAATAATTTGAATTTGGAAGGTACTATATTGTTTTTAAATGTCGCAGTTCCTAGAATGAATTTGTCTAAAATTCCACTTTAAATAAGTTTAACAACAGTTCTTTTGATCTTTGTATTGATGTTTTTCCAAGTGTTTAATTGCGGTTATGCAAAAAGTTGCTGCCTCAGGTAAAAACGGGGAAAGTGGTGGGCGTTTTTGGGGGGCAGGGGCCACAGCTAAGGTTAGACATGCCCCGACATTGCCGTTTGGGGAACGCTTTTGACGCTTTCCGCTAATTTTCCGGCTTGCCTGCTACACCTGTCTGCCTTACAAAAAATAAACAGGAGTGGGGGGCACTTGCTTTTTTACGCCGCGCCACAGACGGCGCCTTTGCCACGCCCCGTTTGACGGTGTTTTTGTGTGTCCTTAATCCCAAACGCTTTCATTGTGCATAAATTACGCCGCCTAAAAAGTTCGCCCAACGAATGTATAAGTATATAGGGATAGAGGCAGGGAACACTCGGCACCTCCGCACCTCCGCACCTTTACCGCGCTTTTTTAGACAAATTAAAAAACTCTTATCGACCCTTGAAAAACTTTTCCTTTTTTCACTGCGGTTTCCTCAGATAGGGGAAGCTGTGTCCTATATAAATTGTTGTGGCTCTGCTGGTTCTTGTTGTGTGTAATAGGACTTTAAAATGCTTTTTGAGCGCACAATTTCTTTCAAAGGTTAAACGCGGCGAGTGCGTGATATTCTCTGCAAATTTATTGCTCATACGCACAGGTGTCCCGACGTTTAAATATCAGACAGCAAATTGCAGTCAGACAGAAGGCAGGTCGTAAAATGCAAAGCTTAGGAAGATTGAAATACCGAAGATAGCTTGAATAGCTATCCAGTTTGAGTAATTTAAGAAACATTTTCGCAAATATTTTGTGCTTTAGGTAGCAATAATCTAAACCATAAACATTGTATAGTTGTTTGTCTAAAAATGAAAGTGAAAAAGATTAAAGTCTGGATACCATTTGACCTTTAACCGATTTAATTTTTCCCATTAAATGAAAGCTATCGGTAATCTCCACTCAAAGTGCAGTGGCCAAAGCCCCACACAAAATGGATTATAGCCAGCTGTCTGTTGGGTAGCAGAACTGTGGTTTCGGTTGCCGCTCCAACTGGATTTTCAGGCGCCTGCTTACCTGCAATTCTGGTCTTATTTTCGGCATTTGCGGTAAGCCATTTTACTGCAGTTGAGTTGTGTGAGAATCTTTGATTGAATTTGCTGGCTGACACTCCCCCACGCACACCCACAGCAAATGCAGTCAGGATCATTAAGTTAAATGAGACGTGGCTGCCGTGACAGCCATGAAACCTCATGATTTGGGGCGGGTTAGGGCTTAAATGTAATTATTAACTACACCATGCTAATTGCCCCAAGCACACGGTGGGTGGAAGGTGGGCCTAAACAAAGGCCTTTGGCTGCTGGCCAATCTGGTTACCTTGACTACAATTCGTCTTTGATTCTGCTGCCTGTTGCTTACATGCTTACACTGAGAGACGATTTAATCTTCAATTCAGTAAATATTTACTAAAAATACTCTAAGGAGCCTATTTACAGAGCATATACAGTGGGCTTTCAATTTGATTTCTCTTAAGATATACGATATGCTATTTATACATTTATATTTTTGTGTTTTTGTAGTAAACTGTCTAAATGTGTACCGCTTCTGCCTAGAATGGTAATTTTAACTTATTTCCTATCTGCAAAAGCCAGGTGAATGGCTTTTTGCCTCTGATCAGGACAATTTGTAATCCTTTTAAATTGTATACGGCTCATATTATACAGCAGATTTCACTTAATTTTCAGTGCAAGGAGCAGGGCTCAGACTACAGCTGCTGCTCCTTATGGTCACCCAGAACATTCAGGAGACGTGCTGGCGCCTTTCTGAGGACCCTACTCCTTCCTCGACCTCGGGGAAGTCACTCATTCAGTTCAGTTAGTTGGCTGGGGCTGTGCGAAGTGCTCAGCAGCTCACAGCTCAGCAACTCAGCAGCGTGTAAACATTTTCATTCGCTGCTCAGATCCTTGTTGTTGTCGCTGTCAAGTTCTGTTCCGTGTACATTCGAGTGTAAAATATTGAATTATGATGGCAGCTGTTTCTCAATAAAGGGAGCAACGAGAAAAAAAATGAAAACGGGCAGGGCGAGAGCAAAAAGCATTA